CTACACCACTGATGGGAAGTGACTTCGTCGCACAGATTATTATAATCATAGCAACAAAATGTTCATGTAATGTTAGAAAAATAAAAATGTAGAAGAACGTCACAAAGTTTCTTACACACATATGTATATTTTATGAAAATTTACACTAAGTTGAAACATGTAATTTTTTTGGGACACTGTGTAGTAAATACGAGAAATGAAAGTAATCGCGAATCTACTCGGCATTTCTAAAAGTCAAGGCGGCCGGTAAATCGAAGTAATCTAAAAACGTTCGAAGTCCGTTAAAAGTTCGTTACTGGTTCCCCAGCCTCCCATAGCTCTCAGCATGCGGAGAGCTGCCGTAGCTTAATTCTGTTAAAAAGAGCATCTGCAAGCAAAAGGAGGGTGCATTCGCTTCATAACTCTTAACCATCTTAACCTCCAAAGTGCGCACCATGGCTACTTGAGAATAAATCACCGGTGCACGAACTCTAATGAAAAATACACCTGAGTGTTAGTTTCACGGCAAAATCTCCCGCCAGGAGGGTAATAAGGTCCGTAGGAGGGCGCTCCGTTCGCTACCTACATCCATCAATAACGATTACCAAATATTAATGTATTTACCGCAAAAACAATAGTCATGCTCGAGTTTCATTTGTTAAACTAGAACTGACAGATCGATATTAGTATCCCGGGTTTACTAAATAAATATTCAAACTGCTGAATTTCAGATATCATTAATATCTTTTTGAAACGCTGCTGGCTCAGATTTTTATCTCAAAACCAATGTTAATGGTTCATATATCATACGAGGTACAAACCATTCTATATAAACAAATCTTATTTCCTACTGTCTCTTCTTTTAAAATCAATAGGTCTAAATTCCAAGGTAGACGGTCTTAATTCTTTTCTTTAGCTTGTAAAAGTTTCTTTCTCAAATATGACAAGATGAATTCATCCAGGATTAAGACAAGCCAAAGAGATCGTAAAGAAACCGTCGGCCAAGTTCACAATAGATAAACTGGATCCAAAATGACAAAGTCTTCTTAGAAGGCACATAATTATCATAAAACCAGCAGAAAAAGCAACACTGTGTGGTTCTATGATGAAGAAGAGGAAACATGTGTGCCAATGTAAAGGTCTGGTTAAATTTCTAACATTAAGAAAATCCAGAAGCACTGTGAAAGCTACTAAGTTTAATAAAAAAAAAGCAAGCTACTCTAATTAATGGAGTCCCAAAATAAGTGAAAAGATCGCGGAGAAAAAGGACAAATAATATCCATCTTCTTTCAAATCTAATCTAATCTAATTTTTTAAAAACACTAATTGCTTTGGTAATATGTGATTTTGAAACAACTTCTTTGTATTAGATATTCCCTTAGATGAATCATCAAAATCAAATATGATTTCTTTAATTTTTTCATAATTATCTGCGTAAAAAAAAGGCAGCTTTAAGCCAGGTACCCCACCGAGTAATCACAGGTTCCGGTGGGATCTGTAATTCAGGAAATTTTTCTTTGTACAATTTAGTTTTTAGAGGAGCTTTAAGAAATATTTTTTTTACATTACTAATTAAATCATTTATTAAAGGGAAGTTAGACTTAATTTCTTCTGCAACTTTGTTAAGGCCATGAGCCAAATATGTAACATGGATTAAGTTTTCATAAAACATTGTTAAATTTTGTGCGGCTTTTACCATGTACGGGGCAGCATCAGATAACAGCAATAAACATTTTTCTGTTGGAACGGGATCCGGAAGAAAAAAGGAAGACAATTCTCTCTGGATAAAACGAGTTATTGTCAAGTTATTTGTTTTAATCAAAGCAATTAGATATGGACCAATTTGCATTTCTTCGCGTAATGAACCTATCATTAAATGGGCTATATATCGACCACAAGAGTCTGTTGTTTTATCCACAATAATGTAGAAATGGTTTCCAACGGTAATCTCACGAATTTTTTCACAAATCTCAATGTACAAACTGTCAACACCACGTTTGTGTAATATACTTTGCTCTGGAGTATTAAATTTACAGTATTTTTGCAAAAACGATCGGAGATTTGGATTATTTAGTCGTATTAAAGGGATATTCGAAGTCACTAAAGCTTTGCATAAATCTTCATTAAAAATAGCTTGTTCACTTCTAGACGATCCAGATTTTAAATATTGTTTCAAGGGAAGATGACTTTGTCTGCGAGTGTCTTTAGATTTCTGCTTTGCTGTATGTGAGGGTGTTTTCGCGTGTTGGTCGATTTGAAACTGTTTTTACATGGAATCTAAAACAAATAAATTCCTGTAGATGTTGAAGTTTTAATTAAATTAAATAAATGCGTACGTTGTAAAGTTGCCCTACTTTTTTTTTACTTTCTGTATAAGGATTTTCTTTTAAAATTAAATGTATAAAAATATTCACATATGAGATTTATGCATCTTTTTCTCTAGCTATATTCTTTATCCTGCATAATGTTTTGGGCATGATTTTTATTGTAATGGTAGCAATAAGAGTAAACTAGTAAAGGCCATATTAATAAATAATTCAATTTTATATTACTTGGTTGTTGAATTAATTAATAAAAAGAAACAACTCATTTTTTAAGTGTCGCTATACATACATATAGTATAATTTAAACAGTAAGTTTATACTGAATCACAGTACTCAATTTTATTAAAACAATCTTCTGCTTTATTCTATATATATATTATGCATCCTAATAATTCAAATTGTATTTACTTCCACTTTTATATAAAAAGTTAGGAGTAAAGCGCCACTAGCGCATTTACTATGCCCAAGGAAAATAGTAAAATATTAAGATTTGTAAATGCTAACCGCTGACGATGTTATAAAGTATAAGTGTAAGCTTATTTTATTTAAATGTCTTCAGTTAAATAACTATTAAGTTATACAAATGTTACTACCATCATAAAATTTGCATTTGTTTGTATTAAATAAACGTTCCTGTCTATAATTTATGTATTTATCTATTTATGCACGGTGTAGTTATTAAGTTATAACGTTATTCTAATAATTCGTACGTTTGTGATTTATAATGGAATACACTAATAAACCCAGCAAATGATTTTATTATTTACTATCGAAATGGTTCAATTTATGTTATTTAAGAGGTACAATTTTCAATAGACATAAGATTAACTATTTTATATGGAGAAAACAATCATTGCTTTTAATTGAATAGACTTTCTATCAATCAATTTCACTAGGTACTATGAAAAATTATTTTTTCTTTGATTTAGAAGTAAATTTATAAAAGTTTGATTTATTTAGTTGTGTTATTTTTACACGCATCTTATAGAAAACAATTATTGCCTTATGAACAGTATAATACTTCCATGATTATATACATGCAGCTGAAAACTAAACAGTCTGAATATTTTGTTGAAGCTATCCCAACCTAAAACTTTCCCCCCCTCGTATTGTGTCGAATTTCTCATACAAAACAAAAAAAAAACAGTTGCCGGGCCCCCATTTGAAAACCAGCCCCGGGAATTAGTCCCGGCTACCCCCTCCCCTCTCTAGTCGGGCCTGGCTACAAACTTAAAGCTTCTATACTCTTCTTAAATATTATAGTTGCATTCTTTAAAATTATAATTTGACTGTATCACAAAAATGAAGAATCATCATCAAAATAAAACGATTTTATTTATCGAAATACATGTTAAAAATATCTAATATATTTTGAAGAGAGTTTCCCCAATTTTATTCTATTTTAGCTTGAACGCCTCCTAAATGGCCAGCCATTACGGCAGCACCATCGTAGCTCTGGGCAACAAGCTTAGAACCACATTCTAAACTTGAAATAATGTCACAAATAATTTTAAACAATGCATCTGCAGTTCGCAATACATATCGCACAACAATGGATAATTAACTTAAGTTTGCTACATCTGTGGTTTCATCAAGCGCAATTGATACGAAAGGTGCTTTTTAATTTCACTTTTAATGTGATCCATCACAATTTCAGCAGTGTAAACTGGCGGTATAAATAATAAAAAGTAAGGGACTCAAAACAGATCCCTGTGGTAGACCAATACTGGTATAACGAGGACCTACGAGCTTATTTTCATGGTCTCTTACATCGAAGAAGGAATTTTGAACTCGTCAATCATCTTAGTCTTTAAAATTGATAGGTCTACACTATCATAGGCTATGATAGTCATAGCCATCTATAAAAAGGATAGATAAATAGTTATTTCGGGATAAATTGTTCTGAATGTCTGTTGTAGAGAGAGCATCCATCGTTCCATATCCTTTTCTATATCCAAACTGATAACTTGGGAGGAATTTTTCTTTAGTTAACCACCATTCGAGTCTAGTCTTGATCATGCGCTCCAAGGTTTTCAACACACAAGACAGATGTGAGATTGGCCGGTATGATTGGCCCAAATATGATGACAGGCATTTAAATTTAAATTATTTAAATTTTAGTTGATAATTAAACGAATAAATTTAGATGTATAGATTTTCTTTTTTAAAGATTGCGTATTAAAAATTTATCTTTCAGCCTATTACCTAACTTTTGCTAGAATTGAAATATATTTCTGTCTTGGAATCGATGTATTTGAATCCAACTATTTTCTATTTCGGATTTATATGCACCCTACTTGAACATGCAAGTCGTTCTCTTTAATAGATACCAAGAGTGGTATTCGTATCCAGATTTTCGTAGAAATTTTTATGTCTAGTAAATGAGATATTTAATTCCGATTATTTTCTCTTTGGGGTTAATATACACCCTATTTGACCTGCAGGTCGTTTTATTTTAAAGAGTTTTAAATTAGTATTTGTACCCAGCTTAAAAAATAGTAGTTTATGCAACAAGAATGGATATGAAGACTAACTTTAATCGTTTTGGTGCGATACGGGCAATGCACCTAAGTTAAACAGTATATTTTTTCGAAAATCCTTAAGGTGACGATTAGACAACACTGCATAAATGACGTGCATCATTTTCTGTATTAAACATCCTATAAACAGGTATGAATAAAACGACAAAAATAACATTCACTAAAAATTTATTTCTCACATATGCTCACTTTCACAAAAAGTGTTCCTAAAATTAATTTGATTCTAAACCTATTATCATTTATTGACTTTCTTCACAGTCGAACTTATCAAAGAGTCTATACTGAAATTCTGATTGGGCAGGACCGTACTCGAAGAACTGGCTCCCAAATTATGAGTTAGACTATGTCTTCTCAGATCACAATTTCTACGAAAAACTTTCCCGCAAGTTGAACAGTTATACGGTTTGATATCCGTGTGGGTCAATAGGTGTGTTTTCAGGTTGGACCGTTGGTTGAAGGACCTGCTGCAAACTGGGCATTTATGTGGAGATTCCTCCATGTGCAGGATTTTGTGAACGGCTAAGGTTCGCGATTGGCAGAAACCTTTGCCACATTCTGTACATTTAAAGGGCTTCTCTTTACTGTGGATGTATCTGAAACAAATTAAATTCTATTGTATTATACATAAAAATAATGAGGAAAATAAAACTCAAACTAGTTTCAGTTATAGATACTTTACCGTCATCAGACCTGTGGAAAAAGTACAGATTAAGGTCTTATGATGGTAAAGTATGACTGAAACTCTTTTAATTATAATTATTGGAGGCACATCATTTGAGATTTGGATAACCTTCTTATTCTTAAAAAATAATGGTTTTTAAACAAATAAAATGGTGAATATTTATCAAGAAACGAAGTGAAATATAGAATGTTTCGAATCTATACAGAATTTTAAATACTTTAATTTGTCTCAGGACTATTACATAACAAATATTTAAAAAACATTTTTTATTTTAAGAATAGTTTAAAAATTTGCCTTTCTTCAAATTGTAAGATACTCATGATATTATTCATATTAGTATTACTAAACCTTTCTATAATAAAATGTTTGGCCAATAATAAAATAGCAATGGTTTGTTTGGTAATTCTCAGATTTCAAATATTATAAAGTACTTTATTTGCCTATTTTATTTTGTAAGGTTTTTAGAAAGAAATTCAACACTGCATAAAGATAAGTTGGATTAAAGCTTCTTATTTGTATTCCAGGAGTCTATAGTTAGACTATATCCCAAACTTTTGGAGACAACCTGTATATATTGTACTATACTTACAAGTTTAATATAATCGAAATATTCAATACATCACTGAAAATTTAAATATTTTTTTATTAATGGAAAAAAATACATTTTTGCATTTGATAATTATAGTAGTTTGTGCAACAAGAGTGGTTAATCATCTGAGTGCGATATCAAGTTGTACAGTATATTTTTTCTACGACTTATTAACGAAAATCTCCAAATTTAAAAAATATTTTAGGTTAATAAGACAAAATAACTAATTTTAAAATAATTTATGAATTTTACTAATTTATAAAATAAAAGAGACATACAAAAAAGTATTTACCCAGCCTAGATTCGATCCCAGGATTTTCACGTGGAAGACATAAGCTCTGTCCTCGCCTCCACCTTCCCTTTTTAGGATATTAGTTTTAATACTCATATAGTTTGATTAAAATTTGATTTTTTTTTAATGTGCACCAAATAAAAATAAAAATGCTATTATTTATCGATTCTACACAAAAATTGCTCATATATCTCATAAACTGAAAAATATAATGACAATTAGTTTGACAGAATTGTCACTTATTTAAAATTTTAAAAATAATAGTAGTTGGGTATCCAAAATATGAACTGTGATTGGTGGATTTAAATTCTCACTACCTAGAATGAATATGAAATATATTCGTTAAGTAGAACGCAATAGCATACTTTTTCGTTTTGTAGTCTGTGCGTAGATTTGCTAATATTCATGTGAGTATGGAAAAAATATTAATTTTTTTATTTTAATTAAAATTATGTTTGGTTATTAAATTAAAAAACATTTATTTGGGAACATACAATAAATAGTTTGTCAGAGCACAGTTAAATGTCAATAAATTTTCTTTATTACTAGTAAATTGTTCTCTTAGTGTTTATTATTTATCATTCGCAAAAACATATTTGTCAATCTATTTAATTTTCAATATATATTATTAATTAAATTTAATTAAGTGAATTCTAAAATTTAATAATAATTAACTTTAACATAAAGTATCATAATCATATACCCAAAATCAGTATGTCGTTCGGTTTCACTTTTAACCTTCCCAAAAACAAAATGGCCGAATTAAAAGGTTTCTTGGTATTCGGTCAGATATTAAAATAAAGAAATAAAATTTAAATTTATTGTACTGGTCTTATAATTATAGATATCAGGTTTGTAATAAAAATATGAACGTGACTTCAAACAACAACATCGATATGTTAATGGGTTTTAATAAGGGAGGGAAAATACACAATTTAAGAGAAGATGAAGATAAAATTTGGACTATATAGAGGTACATTTTCAAAATTTGTGCACGTACCCAAGGCAGGGAACAAATTATCCCTATCTGAAATGCTACTCTAGTAATATATTGCTCTTTCTGTACTTCTAATTTGTACTTAAATTGTGAAACCATTATTTTTATTGTTCAAATCAAGCTAGTTAAAGCAACTTGCTCTTAAAAGCTGTAGAATTCAATTTTCAACCACTTGAATAGAAAACGATGTTTGATACTAATAATATGTAAAACAACTGTATGGAATAGCTTTGTGATCGAAAAGTCATAACTTCCATAAAAAAATACAAGTTTATGAGGCAAACCCAAAGTTAATCCGATAGTTTTTTGATAGACCTTACTTTCAACTTACAATAAATACAATGTATTTTTGATGCCGTGTTGGGTAGAGTTGAGACAAAGAAGATTAAGAGATTTTATTTGAATTTAATTAGAAATAATTTGTTTATTCGCGCCCACATTACTAATGATTGCTCTATTTCGATGCACCGTGTATTCAAGTAGGCAGTTATTTTGCATAGTGTTGGCAAATAATCATAATAACCTACTAGCAGTAGCCCAACTACCTTCAAACGCGAATAACGTATATCCCAATAGTTTGCAAAGCCATTTTGACCAAAATATTGTTGTATATCCAGAAAAACTTATGAAAAATTGAAAATTGTACAAATTAGGGATAGTCATGTGTGAGTTGGTTACAAATCTGTATGGTTTTGGTTCAGACATCTAGTTAAAATACTTAATATCTTTGTGAGATTCAAAGGAAGTATGAAATTGAGTTAGTTGTAATTTAAATAAATAATTTTTGGTATATAAGTCTGTTATTTATTTACTATTCCACAGAAATTATCAAACAAAAGTTTTTGGAACCAGGTCATATCTACATGCAAGCAAATTCCACATACTCAGCGGTAAAAATCTGCCAGCAAAAATAAAGACAATAAAACTTACATTATAGAGCCATATTAAGTAAAATAAATAAAGTTTGACGAAATGCTGGACATAAAATTGTTATTAGATAAATTTGTAGTAATTAGAGCATGAGACTTTGATGGTAATGTTGTACAATGGCTGAAAATTAAAATAATTCATTATCTAAAAGGAGAAAAGAAACAATATTCTTCAATTATGATGCTAAAAATCAGTCTTGCTACTAAGTAGTAATTTTTCGGCTATTTCTTTTTAATTATAAGATTCTTGAATTAATTTGTGTAACCACCCCTTATGGGTCATATCCTGCTCTGCTAAAAAACTGGTTTTGGAAAATTTTGTGTCAAAACCATTGGAAAATACGTAAATATAGCAACGGAATATTAATGTTTCCCAAGCCCATTGAAAACTTTGAAAATACTGTACAGCTAAAAATTAATAAGCAAAGTTAGTACCAGAAGCAATCCAATCATATTTATTTATGATCAAGAAGTGTTAAAAGTCCAACATTTTATAAAAAAAAGTATCAATTAACTGTTTTATTAGAAGGCGTCTTATAGCGCTAATATTTAATTAGTTTTTGTTAAAAATAACCTAATATAAAATAATTTACATTAATTATAATTATGAATTACGAATTATATGCACTAGTGCTACTCTTTATTGGTGTAAATAAGTAGTGGTTTATTAATATACTCGATAGGTGGATCTATTCAAATATTTTTTATGATAATTGTACGAAATTATCATACTAAACATCTCCAATAACACGGTGCTTTATAATGTTGATCGTGATAAAAAAATACATCCATTAAAACCTGTTTTTTTACAAGAAAATTAGTTAGATACCTGAGGATAACGACGAAGGTGTAAGGTTCACCAATAATATCTTCGATTCAACATAACAGCAATTAGAAACTATGAAAGGATACAGGTGGACGTCAAAAAATAGTGATATATGAATGTACTTTTTATTTTCCTAATACAATAGTAAAAATTTGCAAAAAATATATATTTAGTCGCTTTAAAGCCTTTTCCACGGTCTTACTAAACTACCTTAGCTTGATGTTATATTTTTTTCTGTTTTACTACACCTGATGATGGTCACTGACCAAAACTAGTCGCTTAACCCCTAAATTAAAAAAAAATATTTTATGGTCAAGGCTTTTGGGTTATTTTTCTTTTCTTTAAAAATAGTATAAACACCCTTAAATAATTTATTTAACGATAAAAATGACAGCATTGTAAAAAAATGTGATTTCACAGTTGATAAACACGACTTTAGTGCTGAAAATAGTGCTTAAAATAATCTCCATGAAAATGCATTACATTTTAAATCACAAATATTTAAAGGCCTAAAGTTAAACCAAAAATCAATAACGTCCTAGGCTAAAATCGAAACCTTAAAATCATCGTGTCGGCGCACATATATAAGCAAGCACAGACGACTGGACGATATTATTTGTTGTGTTTTCGGACTTGATATTTTACAAACGTGCTAAAAAGTGTAAGAAAATTGGAGATAAGGAAATTTTCTTGTCGGCATGAATGCATTACTGATGCCACATATGCAGTGGCCTTTAAATGACTTAACTATATATAAGTGACCATAAACAATCTGTGGCGAGAGATTTTATAAACTAATAGATAATAATAACCAACCTCGAATGGTCTATAAATTCTTTGGCGGGTACATCGTATAGTAGTGTTTAGTTTAAAGTACTCTTTAAACTCCAATAAAGATTCTTGTTGATGTTATGGGAAATACCTGCGGTTATTTTGAAATTCCTACAAATGCGATTTATTTTAGTTATTGTTTGGAATTATTTTCTATATTTTTTTGTTTAGCGACGATAACCCTTCTATTTCAATGGTAGTATATGTGAATTTTTCTCTAATTATCATGGTCTTTTGTAGAATTAGAATCAGCGGTAATTTAATTTATTTATTTATTTTATTTATTTAAAAATACGAAATACAAAATTAAAAACCATAATTTACCTACGGCTTACGTATTAATAGCTGCCCCTACAGGATCTTTACATAATATACTATTTTCTAAGTCCAAAGTCTAACAGCCTCACTCAGTCGCACTCTCTTTTATCTCTGTAACGTGTGGAGGGT